GTCCAATGCGTGGGCAGGCCCTTCCCTATATCGAAGTGGCCTGCTGCTGCGTGCGGTAATGCGGTACTGGGCCCCGGCCCAGAAGCTTCTGGTAGACCCCACGAGGAAGAGCCTCAGTCCAAAGGAAACAGACCCAGGGCCTGTGGTGGTTACCAGCGCCCAACTGCCCTCAGCCTTTGTTCGGTCCATGTTGTGTATCCGGCCCAGCGCCTGCCTCAGTTATATATGATAAAGGCAGCCTGGGACTGGGCGCTTCCAACCAACTGGCGCTGCGCAACTGCCTGAATTTTCCTCCAGTTGCGTAGTAGTCCAAAATAGGCCTTGGTCGGGCCAGTCTTCACTTAGGGCGGCCGACCTTGCTGATAACAGGGCCCAGTGGGGCTTATTGAGGCCTTGTGCCTCGCATTCCCTCCTCCATACTTCGCTAGTCCTCTGAGAAGTTCATTCAATCTGGCGCTTTACTTTCTGGAGCAACTTCTCATAGTGGGCGACAACCTGCGGCACGGTCTGCATCAATTCCTCCCGTGTGAACCATCTACCCTCCTTTGGATCAGTGTGATGTCTGAACCGAACTCGATACTGCAGCTTCGGCTTCGGAGGACGTCCCCTTCCTGTCGGTCTTGGAACCGGCATTTCTCTGTGATCCACAATGTCGCCGATGTCAACCTCTCCATCCATGGTTGGGGGCAGCATTGAGCAACGAGAAGGAAACTGGTCAAATTCCCTGAAAGGTGCGAGCTTGGAGGCGTGGAAGACTGGGTAAGTGCGAAGGTGACCAGGGATCTGCACTACATATGAAGGCCCATCCGGATCATCCCCAACGATATCTAGAACCTCCTAGGCTCCAAAATACTGTGGCATGAGCTTGCGGGAGATCCCGTGCTCCTGACCCAGTTCTGAGGACTTTAACCCAGACTCTGTCCCCTACCTGGAATGTAGATGGGTGGCGGTGTTTATTCTCAGAATCTATCATCGCTGCTTGTGCCCTGTGCATCTGTTCTAACGCCTGCTGCATGAATTGTTCATATCGATTGGCAAACTCCAGTGTACCAGGTGCAGCAGTCGGCTGGTTCTCAGGTAAGAGGAAATCCAGGGGTAGTCTAGGCTTGAAAGTCAGTAGCAAACTGTTACTGCTCACCCCAGTGGCGCTGTGCACAGCGTTGTTGTACAGGCTGGCGATGAGAGCAAGTTTCTCATCCCAGTCCACCTGATTGGGCTTGATGTAGTGCCGCAACAGGTGTTGTACAGCGCGGTTCAGTTGCTCTGCTTGGCCATTTGCCTCTGGGTGGTTCCCGGAGGTCATCTGCAGCTGTGTACCCTGTTCTGCAGCTGTGGCCTTCCACAACTCACGTGTGAATCTGACATCCCTGTCACTAACAATAGACTTAGGAAGCCCAAAGTCCCTGACCACAAATCACATACTTCGTTTTAGCTGTTGCAGGCATAGCCACTAACCTAGCATACTTACTAAACCTATCCACAATGACATAGACATAGCGCATTCCACTCTTGCTGGTGACCAGTGTGTCCATGAAATCCGTGGACAGGCTCTCACCGGGCCTTTCCGAAATTGGAAGGGGCTTAAGAAGGTCTGAGGCTGCGTTCAAACATCCTCTTGACGTGGAGACCTGTCAGGTATGTCAGAGAGACAAGCCACGTACACGGGTCCCTCTTGACACCCCAAGAGGGACCCGTGTACGTGGCTTGTCTCTCTGACATACCTGACAGGTCTCCACGTACAGCTTGGCGTCGCTCATCATTGTGGGCCACCAGAACTGCTGCAGCAAGTTGGCTGCAGTCTGTTTATTATAACCAAAATGTCATGTGGCATCATGACACTCACCTAGAAATAAACAATGCAAAGACTCCCGATTGGGCACACACAGACGTTTATTCCCGGCCTTCTCAAGGAACAGCAGGCCGTTGACCAACTCAAACTCGGCTGCAGTCGCTTTGTCCTTCGCATCGAGTCTGTGTATGATCTCAGCCATAAATGGATCCTCGCGATAGGCTTCCACCAAAGAACGAGTAACATCGTCCGCAAGCCCAAACTCAGTGATCAGGGCAGCGGAGAAATCTGGCCTACACGACAGCGCATCAGCAACTTTGTTGTACTCACCTTTGAGATTCTCGGGCTCGAAGTCATACTGCTCAATGACTTCGATCCAGCGTTTCAACGCATCAGAGAGCACAGGCTGTGTTCTCGTCCACTTCAGGGTCTGACTATCAGTCCTGACGTAGAAGAACCCCCCAAGGAGGTAGTGCCTCCAATGGGTTGCGCTTTGTAGATCGCGTACAACTCCTTCTCATAGTTGGACTTAGCCAACTTCCGAGAGGGCATCTTTTTGGACATGTACTCCACTGACCTCAACTTTGGCCCCTCCTGCTGCGCGAGCACGGCGCCTATGCCATATTGGCTAGCATCCGTGGTGACTATAAACAGCTTGTCAGGATCAGGAAGTTTCAAGACCTCATAGTGTGTCAGAGCATGCTTCAGATGTTTGAACGCAGCCTCAGACCTGTCTGTCCACTCCCATGGGGTGTCAAGGCGGGTCAGGTCCGTCAAAGGTGCGGCCACTATACTATAGTTTTTCACAAAGTTGCGATAGTAGCCGGTCATCCCTAAGAAGGACCTCATCTCAGTCACAGACTGAGGATGCGGCCAGTCACGAATGCTGGCCACCTTCGCGTCATCGGGCTTCAATCCCTCTGGGGAAATCTCATGACCCAAGTACAAGATACGGGTGCGGCCAAACTCGCACTTCTCGCCGTTGATCTTGAACTTGTGCTGCCGAAGGAGACTAAGGACTTTGTCCAAGTGACCAACATGCTCCTCGATAGTCCTACTGAAGATAAGTATGTCATCAAGGTACACAATGACAAGCGTATCCAAGTAGTCATGAAAGATCCGATTCATTGCGTGCTGAAAGGTGCCAATGGTAGTTGGTGCATATTGAAAGAAACATCGAAAAAGGACAATGTGGAACTTGGTACCAGATTTTCTAGCAGTGGAATCAGTTATATGTAATGACCCGCCAAAAACACAGATTGAGAACACTGCTGATTTCTGGGATTTGCCGCTGGAATAAATGCCTTGCTGAAATTCCCGCATTCTGCTGTGATTTCCATGTCTGTGTGTGTGTGCGTGCCTGCTGGTTTGCATGCCTGTCTGAGTGCTTGTCGGCTGAGTGTGTGTATGACCCGCAACGGTACTTGTTGGTTGAAAGGCCCCGCAGGGCCGGTACTTACCTGTGGTCGTGACTTTAAGGGTTGCAGGGGGAAAACACTCGAGTAGCGGGGGTAGGCCCGCGGCACTTAGAGAAGAGGGGAAAAACACTCAAGTAGCAGGTAGGCCGGTACCAATGAAGTAGTGGTAGAAGTGTCGGTACTGGAGGCCGAGCAGAAGAAGACAAAAAGTTGGCATTTTTAGAGGCCCAGTAGCGGTAGGCTAGAGGTAGGCCGGTACCAGTCCAAGTAGCCCGGGTCTAGGGCCTGTGCGGAGGTTAGCAGAGCCTGCAATGATGTTTCCCTCCGAAAGGGAGGAGGTACCGGTTGCTGGGAGGCCGCTCGGCCTAGGAAGTCACCGCCTAGGAGGCCAGTAGGCCACTATATCTTTCGGACGAGCAAGTAGCTCCTCCTCATTTGCGGTATGCAAGGATTGGCGACAGGCTGCTGGAGCACAGCGCTGGGCTGATACAGCGCTGCTTGGAGGTGAAGGGCAGCTGAGGCTCAGCCTGGCTATGGCGAGCAGCCCAGCTTGAGGAGGAGGAAGAAGGGGGCGAAGGAAGAGAGTGGCGAGGCACCTACCTGGCTACGGTGGACACCGTCTTCATCACCTTGTTGGGCGCTGCATCTGGAAGGCCCCAGTTGCACCAAGGAAGCTCGAGGCAGAGCTTGGCATGGCGGACCAGTCAGCAGCAGCAGCATAGCTGCTTTGGGTTGTCCTTTGGACAGGAGTGCAGCGCCATAGCTGCTTTGGGTTGTCCTTTGGACATGAGGGCAAGGCCCTCAGTAGTCCGCCATAGCCTATGCATGGGAGAGGAGGCAGAAGGAGGGAAGACATAGCTATGGTGGACTTGCTGTTGTTGTTGTTGTTGAGAGTTAGCAGTAAGAGGGAACTTCGGATATTGATTATTGGGAAAAGAATGAGATTGGCGAAGTGAAGGAGGAGGAGGAAGGTGGAGAGAGAAGGGGGAATTGTCATTGGTYTTGCTGGTGTACATCTTCTTCCTCTTCTTCTTCTTCTTCTTCTTCTTTCTCTCCCCTTTGGTCTCTATCTCTTTGCAAGTGCTTTTATTTCTTTCGCAATTGGGTGGCATTGTCTTTCATTGTGAATTTGCACTTTGCGAATGACCAGGATCGTAACATATATAATGAGGTATAGGGTAGGTAGTTTTCTTGACATAGGGGGTGTGAGGCGTGAAGGGATGGTCCTAACACACTTTTTCTTCTCAGCTGGTACCTTTGCGACTGGGTGCACAATTGCATCCCGGTGAGGGTGCTTGGTAGGGATAGCAGGGTGTGAGTTCGTCTGTTCCTTTGAGCTGCTGCTGCCCCCCAGGCCCTTGTTGCCTGGAGGGATACCCCTTTCCTGTTCTTTCAGTTGGTTCCATTGGTCTTCTCTGCCTTTGTCCTTCTGCTTGCCGGTGATTAGCAACCGGACTGCTGTCCCGCAGAATAGATGGGGCTTGTGTGTGTGTTTGGGGTGAAAAAAAAAAAAAGAAAGGTGCCAAGAGCATGATAGCCAGTGGTTAGGGCAACGGTTGGAAATGCACATTTGGCCAGAGGGCGTGGGTTCAAAACTCCACGGCCTCGTGCATATGCCGCCGACGGGCATTGGTCAGGACGCACATACCATTCGCACACTGAGTGTAGCAACCAGGCGCTCTCAAGGGCACATGTAACTGGATAAGGTCCAGTTTGTTCGGGTCTACGGACTGCGTGCAGCCCCTTGAGCACCGTAACAGTTGCTATTACTCCCTTCGGGGTTGTTTAGACCATGGGGGGATTCAGCCCTGAAAGGGGTGGACTCGGTGGTGATGGCGTCCCGCCAAGAGCGATCGCACGACCCCCCCCTCGTAGGGTCGATCGTCCCCTGCGGCACCCCTGTGGCTGTGGTGCGTCAAAGCCTCCCGGCAGGGGTGCAACGGGGGATGAGAGACCCTGAGTTTGGGGGGGCTGCTCCGAGCCGTAGGCTCGCAGGTAGCACCAGACCTGTGACGAAACTGGCGGTGCGAGTGTGGGTATGGTTGAGGTGGCTTCCTCTATCCCTCTTGAGCCTAGTCTTGAGCGAGTTTTGCGAGGCCACCACGCCGACGAGCTGGCTGAACCTGGTGCGTGCAGCTTCCCGTCGGCTCCCCAATCACGGCTGAGTTCCCGACACCTCTGCAACCCTTTAAAAAAAAAAAGAAAGGTGCCAAGAGCACTGCAAAGGCTAAAAGGCATCACCACAAACTCGTACAAACCGTACCTGGTCTAAAATGCGGTTTTTGTTGATCCTCGGGCCGTATTGCAATCTGATGGTACCCGGACTTCAGATCTATCTTACTGAAGTATCGGCACCCTTGCACTCGGTCCAGCAAGTCGTCGATGCGCGGTAGGGGCTCTCGGTTCTTGACAGTGATGGCATTGAGGCCCCTATAGTCATGGCACATCCTTAGAGTTCCCCCCTTCTTTGGTACAAATAGGACTGGAGATCCATACGAGGAGACACTCGACCAGATCCAACCCTTCTCTACGAGTTCCTTGAGATGCCGGCGAAGCTCGTCAAGCTCGCCTGGAGACATCCGATAGATCCTTTTATCATTCGGGATGCTAGACCCTGGGATATTCTTTATCGCGTGGACGACCTCCCTCTCGACAACCCCTTTCGGCTCTTCGAATACATCAGGGTACTTAGCGACTACTCCCTCTATCTACGGCGGCATTTTCACCGGCTCGCCTGTGGCAGAGACAGACTAAATACATACCCTCCTCCGGATTTTGCTTATAATAATTATAGAACGCGGCCGCACACATGCATCCGTAGGACTCGATCAGACTACTAGCCCTAAACTTAGGTAATATGGCGGTCCCCCCACCTAGCGAAGTGTGCTTGACCACTTTTCGGTCCCAGTCAAACTGGGGCTGTGCATCCAAAAGATAGTACCTACCCAACAGGATGTCCATTGGGAGATCATCGCTGACTAGGAACGAGACGTGATGTCTCAGTTCCTCTCCCACGTACAAGAAAAGACACTCAACGTCTTTGAGGTAGTCATTGACTACCATGCGCTGTTTGTTGGCGCAGGTCGACTCCACACGTCGACTCAAGCGCTGCACTTGCCCCTGTAAGCGCAGCCTCTCAACGCACGCGCGACTAATGAAATTTTGTGTCGAGCAAGTGTCATAATAGGCCCCGGCCTTACGGCCGCCGATGACTACCTCGCCGACGAACATGTCACTCTTAGGGGCTTTTGCCAATGCCGTCCAAGAAGCTAGCAGGTCTGATTTAGACCACTCCTCCTCTAGGTTCTCTAAGGACTCAAACACATTCTTCGAACAGAGGCTCGATGGGTCTGAATGTGTTTGTGGGACGACAACGGAGTCAGTAGCTTGGGCCATCTCTCGAGATGGTGAGGGTGTGTCCACCACCTCGACCCTAGCAGGAACAACTACTATTCCTACTGGCCCGACGCGTTTCCCGGAGTAGTGCCAAAACTGCTGGCTACATTGTTACCAACGGGAGCGGAGGCTCCCAACGCCTGCCCCATCATAGGCGGGATCTTCTCGGTCACCTTTTTATTACGGCACTTGAACTGATTATGGCCATATTGGCCACAACGGATACAAGCTTGCCGGGTGTACCGGTCTCTTCACGTGAGCTCAGTGAGACCCGCTTTCTCCCATGGAGGAGCGTTGGGGTCAACTTGACTCCTAGATCGGAAGCCTCTACGGCGTCTACCGGTCGCCTTACCTTTCTGAACTGAGGCAGCGACTACTCCACCTCCTGAAGCCTCTACGCTGCCTGCCTCTGAACCTACTCCCACCTGGAAGTCGTCTTCTAACTCGATGGTAGAACCATCGTTGTCGACGAGCCTGATGCGACCCTTCGCCTTCCAGTTGGGAGGCAGTGACTTCTACCTACCATTCGTTGTGGGTGTCTGTCCATGCCCTATCTTTGCCTCGAGGTCTAGGGCCTTCTTGCTGAACGAGGAAAAATTGTGCACGTTGATGTTGGCCTCACCTGCCAACTGATTCCTGAGAGGCAAAGGAAAGCATCTCAGGTAGGAGGTGAGTAGAACCTGGGGGTCGTAGCGCACTCCAGGAACACAGATCAGACGCTCTACTACGTCTGTGGCCTCCCTTACTGACTTGAACTGTCTGTTGTTCAAAGTTAGGATCGCACCAGTGGCCTTTTGAGCCTCCTGAGGATCATGCCACCTATCTTCCACCAGCTTGAGGAAGTCGTCCAATCTCTGGTTGACTGCCCAAGCGCGGAAGTCATGACCGTATCCCTGTGGTTGCACTAAACCACTCAACCATCTTGCTGCACTCCCCTCTAAATAGGAGGCAGCCACAAACACTTCCTCGTGCGACAAGGTAAGTTTACACTTGACATAGACTGGCACTGACCTCAACCACGTGTCGAGGTCTTCGCCCCTCTTGTCCCCTGAAAAAGGTTTGGGAGAGGCGATGGCGGTCTTTGGAACCCGTTGAGTTTGTCCCGGTACCTGCACCATCCCAAGCTTCAGGGGGTGTACCCTGAGGTGCAGGCTGCTGCTGCGGCTGTGTACCCTGCGGCTGTGCAGGCTGCGAGACAACAGGCTGCCCGCTTACGGCACCCTGCAACGGAGGTTGGGAAAACACTGTCTGTACAGGAACCTGCACACTGGGACCTGTTGAGAACCCGCCTGTCAAAGGCATTCCTAGGGAAGCGGCCTGTACCGATGCTGGAGCTATGTATGGGGATACCCCAGTCACCGGTGGGACAAAAGGAGGAGGTTGTAC